CGGAGGCTTCTGCCTGCCGGGAAAACCCCAATCCCTGTCCAAACAGAGGCGTGGCTGGCTGTGCCACAGGGCTGATGCCATCTGCCTCAGCTGCTGGCCCCAGGGTTAATTAGAGCCTGTGACACAGCTGGGAGGGTCTCCTCCCCATTACCACCTCCCCTCACGCTCATCTCCCTCGTCTGGCCTCTAAGCTTCTTTTGCAACCCCAGCAGTGCTGAGGACCTGAAGACCTGCTTCTCCCCTGCTAAGGGCTGAATCCCCCTCTGTGTCTTGCAGGTGACCCAGCGGCTGCCTCCTACCTGGTGCAGGCCTTGTGGAAACTGAACCGAAAGCAGGAGGCGGCTGCTCACTGGCAGAAGTTCTCCCAGAGCCGTGCTGGGGAGGATGGGCAGCAGGAAGGGCAGGGAAGGTGCGTGGAGGCACGGGTGGGATCTCAGCTGGCCGCATGAGAGCTCCAGCCGCGCAGCCCGTGTGTCAAGCTGTGTGGGCAGTTTAGCTCAGCTCCTGCTAGCCTGCACCCGCAGCTCGGATGTGTCCGAGGAGCTTTCCCCATACCTGCTCTGAGAGACCACGGGCTGTGGCTCTGCAGGGACTCCCCGGGGTGCACACGAGCTGACACGGAGCCAAGTGGGAGGGCAGAGGCCGGGGGCAGAGCCCGGGGCTCTGTGCAGCGCACGGGGAGTGAACTTCCTAGTCGGACCATGGCGAGGGAAGGCCGTGGTCCTTGCTGCTGGAATGCTCCCTTCTCTTTCAGGCCCTTCCCTTTGTACCTGGCTTCGTGTCTGAAGCAGGTGACGTTCCCGCACAGTGAATCTCTTGCCAGAAGCATACGGGATTACCTCGGGAACACAAGCCGGGAATCCTCGAGCTAACCCGGTCTGTCTCCCCATCTCCACCTGCTGAAGTCTCCCCACACTGGGCTGGCACGAGGCCTTTAAGGACTCCTCCAAGACTTGGAATCACTCTTGGATAAAGCTGGATTCCCAAGGGAGAGAAACAGAACAGGTCTCCTTTTCTAATAAAAGCCTCGGCT